GTAAACGGTGTAGGAATTACAACAGTTTGCATATGTGCCTCCCACTTGTTAAGGGACCAAAAGTAATGGGACAATTGGCTTCTCAGCTGTTCCATGGCCAGGTGTGTGTTATTCCTTCATTATCCCAATTACAATGAACAGATAAAAGGTCCAGAGTTCATTTCAAGTGTGCTATTTTCATTTGGAATCTGTTGCTGTCAACTCTCAAGATGAGATCCAAACAGCTGTCACTATCAGTGAAGCAAGCCATCATTAGGCTGAAAAAAACAAAACAAACCCATCAGAGAGATAGCAAAAACATTAGGCGTGGCCAAAACAACTGTTTTGAACATTCTTAAAAAGAAGGAATGCACCCGAGAGCTCAGCAACACCAAAAGACCCCAAAGACCACGGAAAACAACTGTGGTGGATAACCGAAGAATTCTTTCCCTGGTGAAGAAAACACCCTTCACAACAGTTGGCCAGATCAAGAACACTCTCCAGGAGGTAGGTATATGTGTGTCAAAGTCAACACTCAAGAGAAGCCTTCACCAGAGTGAATACAGAGGGTTCACCACAAGATGTAAACCATTGGTGAGCCTCAAAAACAGGAAGGCCAGATTAGTTTGCCAAACGACATCTAAAAAAGCCTTCACAGTTCTGAAACAACATCCTATGGACAGATGAGACCAAGATCAACTTGTACCAGAGTGATGGGAAGAGAAGAGTATGGAGAAGGAAAGGAACTGCTCATGATCCTAAGCATACCACCTCATCAGTGAAGCATGGTGATGGTAGTGTCATGGCGTGGGCATGTATGGCTGCTAATGGAACTGGTTCTCTTGTATTTATTGATGATGTGATGTGACTGCTGACAAAAGCAGCAGGATGAATTCTGAAGTGTTTCGGGCAATATTATCTGCTCATATTCAGCCAAATGCTTCAGAACTCATTGGACGTCGCTTCACAGTGCAGATGGACAATGACCCAAAGCATACTGCAAAAGCAACCAAAGAGTTTTTTAATGGAAAGAAGTGGAATGTTATGCAATGGCCAAGTCAATCACCTGACCTGAATCTGATGGAGCATGCATTTCACTTGCTGGAGACAAAACTGAAGGGAAAATGCCCTTCATGCACAAATCCATTGTGGTGGTGTATAGAGCCAAAAATGTTAGAATTGTGTTAGAGTTGTGTTATTGATGTCCCAATATTTATGGACCTGACTGTATCAGCAAACCAGTGGCCAGCAATAATGCTTCTAATTTATTATAAATTATATATCACAGCGCTACTATGAGTGTAATGTTAAAGTAAAAAACAAGGTATGCTGCACCAATATGTGTTCCTACATAAATAACGATGAATAAATACATTTAAAAAAAATGTAGCGGTACCTAATAGTGTCACTCTACAATAATGTGAAAATATTACAGTGCCCTAAACAAGTAAATTATGAATGTAAAACTTCAATCAATATGTACTTACTGATACAACCCTCTTATGACAGTCCTAATAATACTCCTTGTGTCCATGAGTAAGTCTAGTGAATACCGTGGGGGGGCAATAGTCCTTTTGAATACAGTATTAATAAATATCTATACAGTAATAATAAATGAATATCTACACAAAATGGTGAATGAAGTAAAAATAAAAAATACAAAGTGAACAATAGTGCATTAATGGTGAGATCCACAATGACCCAAAGAGATCCACACTCTCAATGCCACAGTTTCCATAAATCCACTTAAACAACTTCCGTGTCAATCCAACAAATCCCAGACACTTCCTGTCAGGGCTCCGGGTATGACCAGAGGTATGTGAACTGACACAGGGAAACGCAGGCTTCAGATATGTTATAAACAATATCATTTATTTAATACTAACAATACATAAACGCAGTGCAATACTAAAACATAACACAGTGCAAACGAACCAAACCACCCACAGATAACAATACATACAATGCAAGCGTAGTCAGGCCGGCCGGGTCAATAACAATCGGGCAGGTAGGAACAGGAGGAGCAGGCAGAGAGTAGTCAGGTCACGAGCCGGGTACAGCAACTAACGGGCAGGTAGGTACATGGGGTCAGGCAGAGAATGGTCGGGGTCACAAGCCAGGGATCAAACAGGAGAAGTCAGCAGAGGTCCGGATCAGGCAGGGTCGGCAACCAATCAGTCAGACAGGAACAGGAACAGGAATGCAGGTAACAAGATACAGGGGCCCATGGAAAATACACACACCAAGGCGCAGACTGCAGGTCTGGCCATCCCTTAACCAGCTTCCGACCGCAGATAGCCGAATGACGGCTTCACTGCGGCCGGCCAGTTCTGGGTGGACGTCATATGACGTCCTCCCAGAACGCGCTCTCCTGCGCGCCCCAGGGGGCGCGCACACCGGCGATCTCCGTGACACGCTGATCAGAAGGCCAATCAAATACCAAGTGCCGTGTCCAATGACACGCTGATCAGAGGGCTGCACTTTCCTCACGCTGTCAAATCGTGAGGAAAGTACTGCCGAGAACCGGCAGTTGTCAGAGCGGGGATCGGCACCGATCATCAGGGCACTGATGATCATGCCCTGATGATCGGTGCCCAGCAGTGCCACCCGCAAGTTCCGCCCAGCAGTGCGCCCACTAGCTCCGCCCACCCGTGCCCATCAGTGCGCCCACCTGTGCCGGCAGTGCACCCACCTGTGCCACTCTGCAGTGCCACCTACCTGTGCCCAGAAGTGCCACCTACATGTGCCCAGCAGTGCCACCCACCTGTGCCCACCCACCTGTGCCCACCAGTGCCACCCACCATTGCAGCCCAGCAGTGCTGCCAGTCAGTGCAGCCCAGTCAGTGCCCAGGGGTCAGTGCCAGTCAGTGCCGCCAGTTATTGCCCAGCAGTGATGCAGTACCCATCATCAGTGTCACCTATCAGTGCCGCCTATCAGTGCTGCATATTAGTGCCGCCTATCCGTGACCCCTAATTAGTGTTGTCTATCTGTGCCGCCTATCCATGCCACCTCATTAGTACTGCCTATCAGTGCCCTTTAGTGCTGCCTATCAGTGCCCATCAGTGCCGCCTATCAGTGCCCATCAGTGCTGCCTCATCAACGCACATCAGTGAAGGAGAAAAAATACCTGTTTGAAAAATTTTATAAAAGAAACAACTTTTTTTTTTTTTTTTTTCAAATTTTTGCACTTTTTTTATTTATAGCGCAAAAAGTAAAGCGCCCAGTGGCGATTAAATACCACCAAAAGAAAGCTCTATTTGTGAGAAAAAAATGATCAAAATTTCATATGGGTACAATGTTGCATGACCGCGCAATTGTCAAAGTGTGGCAGCGCTGAAAGCTGAAAATTGGCCTGGTAAAGAAGGGGGTATAAGTGCCTGGTAGGCAAGTGGTTAAATACACCTGCAATCAGCCTCAGGTGTTTTGGCTGACTACAGGGTTGAGTCTCTGATTGCTGAGAGCACCCGCTGGCCAGCCCTGTTACTGCAGCCCACAAGGCAGGTGGGTCCCACCATTACTGGCAAGTCCATTCCTAAAACAGTACCCCCCCCTCAAGGAGCGGCCTCAGGACGCTCCAAACAGTCCTAGCTGGGCAAAATGTTCCACCGCCCGGGTCTGGTAACTGGTGGGATATCAAAGACTGGCACATTGGGCTGGACTTCCGGGCAGCGGCCCATCGGGCTGGACTCCGGGCAGCGGCACAGGGCCCCCAGGAGGAGCGGCAGGCACCGGGCCCCAAGGCGGAGTGACAGGCACCGGGCCCCCAGGAGGAGCGGCGGGCACAGGGCCTTCAGGAGGGGCGCTGGGCCCCCAGGCGGCGCGGCAGGCGCCGGGCCCCCAGGTGGAGCACCGGGCCCCCAGGCGGAGCGGCGGGCCCCAAGGCGGAGCGGCAGGCGCCGGGTCGTCAGGCATGACAGCGGGCATCGGGTCACCAGGCATCAGGTCATTTGGCTCACCAGCGAGCACCGCGTCATCTGGCAAGGCAGTGGGCACCGAGTCACCAGGCACGACAGTGGGTTCCGAGTCAACTGGCATGACCGCGGGCACTGGGTCAGACATTGGATCGTCTGGCTCGACAGCGGGCATTGGGTCACCAGGCATCAGGTCATTTGGCTCGACAGCGGGCACCGCGTCATCTGGCAAGGCAGTGGGCACCGAGTCACCAGGCACGACAGTGGGCTCTGAGTCAATTGGCATGACAGCGGGCACCGGGTCATCAGGTACCGGATCGTCTGGCTCGACAGCAGGCACCGGGTCATCTGGCGCTGGATCGTCTGGCTCGACAGCGGGCATTGGGTCACCAGGCATGACAGTGGGCACTGGGTCATCAGGCATTGGATCGTCTGGCTCGACAGCAGGCATCGGGTCACCAGGCATGACAGCGGGCACTGGGTCATCAGGCATTGGATTGTCTGGCTCGACAGCGGGCATCAGGTCACCAGGTATGACAGCGGGCACTGGGTCACCAGGCATCAGGTCATTTGGCTCGCCAGCGGGCACCACGTCATCTGGCAAGGCAGTGGGCACCGAGTCACCAGGCACGACAGTGGGCTCTGAGTCAATTGGCACGACAGCGGGCACCGGGTCATCAGGTACCGGATCGTCTGGATCAACAGCGGGCACCGGGTCATCAGGCATTGGATCATCTGGCTCGACAGCGGGCATCGGGTCACCAGGCATCGTCTGGATGACAGCGGGCACCGGGTCATCAGGTAATGAATCGTCTGGATCGACGGCATCGGGGCCCCAAGGCGGAGCGGCAGGCGCCGGGTCGTCAGGCATGACAGCGGGCATCGGGTCACCAGGCATCAGGTCATTTGACTCGACAGCAGGCACCGCATCATCTGGCAAGGCAGTGGGCACCGAGTCACCAGGCACGACAGTGGGTTCCGAGTCAACTGGCATGACCGCGGGCACTGGGTCAGACATTGGATCGCCTGGCTCGACAGCGGGCATCGGGTCACCAGGCATCAGGTCATTTGGCTCGACAGCGGGCACCGCGTCATCTGGCAAGGCAGTGGGCACCGAGTCACCAGGCACGACAGTGGGCTCTGAGTCAATTGGCATGACAGCGGGCACCGGGTCATCAGGTACCGGATCGTCTGGCTCGACAGCGGGCATCGGGTCACCAGGCATGACAGCAGGCACTGGGTCATCAGGTACCGGATCGTCTGGATCAACAGCGGGCACCGGGTCATCAGGCATTGGATCATCTGGCTCGACAGCGGGCATCGGGTCACCAGGCATGACAGCGGGCACCGGGTCATCAGGTAACGGATCGTCTGGATCGACAGCGGGCATCGGGTCACCAGGCATCAGGTCATTTGACTCGACAGCGGGCACCGCATCATCTGGCAAGGCAGTGGGCACCGAGTCACCAGGCACGACAGTGGGATCTGAGTCAATTGGCTAGACAGCGGGCATCGGGTCACCAGGTATGACAGCGGGCACCGGGTCATCAGGTACCGGATCGTCTGGCTCAACAGCGGGCACTGGGTCATCAGGCATTGGATCATCTGGCTCGACAGCGGGCATCGGGTCACCAGGTTGAACCACGGAAGGCAGGTTCTCAGACGGCAGGCTCACCGGTTTGGATACTGGCAGGATGGTACTGGTTGGAAAGAATTTTCGCTTTTTTCTGGTTTTAACTACTGGAGCACTGCAAGTAAACGCAGGTCTGCAAACGAATGGAGCAGCTGAGGACAGAGAAGAGCTGGAAGATGGAACAGAGGAGGGAGCAGCCGCCACAGAGGACCTCTCCACAGGGCCAAAGAAAGGATAGGTGCAGCGAGTGGGAGCAGGGGACTGGTATGTGGTAGTTAGCAGAGTATACTGGGCCGTCACTGGGGGTGCTGTCGGGGATGCAGGAAGAGTGCCTTGAGCAGAGGAATGACGTTGCAAGCTGACTGAGGCTGGGTGCAACAAGTCTGACCATGTCTGCAGTATGGGTTGAACAAAGCTGAGCTTACACAAAGCCTGTCTGGTCAAAGACTGCACTGCGTTTATACAATCCCTTAATACCTGTGGTGAACATGCAGCATAATTCTCCAAGAAGCAATCCACATCATCCTCTAAAAAACATACCAGGGACTCTACCTGGTCTGCACTAAATGGTGGCAAAAAGTCATTCCTGCTTTCAGGGGTACCAGATGAAGCCAACTCTACACAAACCTGAATCAAAGGTTGCACCTCAGAGAACTCTGTGCCCTGATCTACTAGAACATGAGCGATCCGTAATACATTCTAGCAGTTGATCCCGGGTATACTCCCTCAGAGTCTGATAAGCATATTCTCTGTCATCAAAAACCAGCAGCGACAAATACACAACCTCATCAAGATCCATCCTTCCCAGCAACAAGCCAAGATGGCTTCCCTGTGCAGCCACTTCTGGTCAGGATTGGCCTTGGTGTAATGTCAGGGCTCCGGGTATGACCAGAGGTATGTGAACTGACGCAGGGAAACGCAGGCTTCAGATATGTTATAAACAATATAATTTATTAATACTAACAATACATAAACGCAGTGCAATACTAAAACATAACACAGTGCAAACGAACCAAACCAAACCACCCACAGATAACAATACATACAATGCAAGCGTAGTCAGGCCGGCCGGGTCAATAACAATCGGGCAGGTAGGAACAGGAAGAGCAGGGAGTAGTCAGGTCACGAGCCGGGTACAGCAACTAACGGGCAGGTAGGTACAGGGGGTCAGGCAGAGAATGGTGGGGTCACAAGCCAGGGATCAAACAGGAGAAGTCAGCAGAGGTCTGGATCAGGCAGGGTCGGCAACCAATCAGTCAGACAGGAACAGGAATGCAGGTAACAAGATACAGGGGCCCATGGAAAAACACACACCAAGGCCCAGACTGCAGGTCTGGCCATCCCTTAAATACACCTGCAATCAGCCTCAGGTGTTTTGGCTGACTGCAGGGTTGAGTCTCTGATTGCTGAGAGCACCCGCTGGCCAGCCCTGGTACTGCAGCCCACAAGGCAGGTGAGTCCCACCATTATTGGCAAGTCCATTCCTGACACTTCCAATCTCCCTAGTAAAATCATGTGATATAAGTGAGAAGTGCCATGCGTCCGGCCACAGGTCAAACCATGAACTCTCTTTAGCCCTTCAACATAGGTCTAAATGCGCTTTTCCCGTATGGGATGCCAATCCAGGGGAAAACTGCTTCTTAATAATCCCCAGCAGTAATCCACATGAACAAAACTTGTTATGGGCTTGGATGTTAAATCGATGTGTAATAATGTGCTCAAATAGAAAGTGAAAGAGCCATCATAGTGCTTAGCTGTGTTAAAACTGTACTTTTATTAAAAAGAAATTAATACAGTCACATTTACCAGTGCACATGGACAAACAGCTTGTGTACATAAAAGTGCGTGGCTGCCTTAAGACTTTCCAAATGTCAGAATGGGCTTGGTGCAGGGACTCAGCGACTTACTTCCTACCTAGTGTAATGATGTCACAGACTCTGCTCTGACACATTTTGTCACTCATCATGTGACTTCCTCAAGGAGAAGGAGTCACAGCATCATGATCAAAGCTTAAATACCGGGCAATGTATTATTTGTTACCATGGAAACATGCAACATTTTCCTTGTGGTAACCAGGATGTACTATGCAGGGAGCCATATTGTTGGGTATAAAATATTGGTCTGCCAAGGCATACCCACAAGTTTAAAAAAACTAAAACCGCAAGCTACAATACAAAAACACGAAAATTAAAATAAAAAGCATAGCAGGGAGGGACTAGAAGTTAAAATCCGAAATGTGAGTCAGCACAGAACGACTATTAAAACCAGGTTATATGACCACTATATAAACTCAATACAAATAACATACTAAGAAACAATGGGTATAAATGAGCAGAATGTTTCTGCTACATAGTACAATGCCCCCTAGTGACAACAACCCATAATTGCAATATAAAGTGGAACTCTGCCTCTACATATAAAACCTCAATTAACCACTTGCCTACCAGGCACTTATACCCCCTTCCTTACCAGGCCAATTTTCAGCTTTCAGCGCTGCCGCACTTTGATTGACAATTGTGCGGTCATGCAACATTGTACCCATATGAAATTTTGATCATTTTTTTCTCACAAATAGAGCTTTCTTTTGGTGGTATTTAATCGCCACTGGGCGCTTTACTTTTTGCGCTATAAATAAAAAAGTGCAAAAAATTTGAAAAAAAAAAAAAAAAAAAGTTTATTTGTTTCTTTTATAAAATTTTTCAAACAGGTATTTTTTCTCCGTCACTGATGTGCGTTGATGAGGCAGCACTGTACTGATGTACTGATGGGCACTGATAGGCAGCACTAAAGGGCACTGATAGGCAGTACTAATGAGGTGGCACGGATAGGCGGCACTGATAGACAGCACTAATTAGGGGTCACGGATAGGCGGCACTGATATGCAGCACTGATAGGCGGCACTGATAGGTGACACTGATTATGGGTACTGATAGACGGCACTGACTGGCATCACTGCTGGGCACTGACTGGCGGCACTGACTGGCACAACCCCTGGGCACTGACTGGTGGCACTGACTGGCAGCACTGCTGGGCTGCACTGGTGGGTGGCACTGGTGGGCAGCACTGGTGGGTGGGCACAGGTGGGTGGCACTGGTGGGCACAGGTGGGTGGCACTGGTGGGCACAGGTGGGTGGGCACAGGTGGGTGGCACTGCTGGGCACATGTAGGTGGCACTTCTGGGCACAGGTAGGTGGCACTGCAGAGTGGCACAGGTGGGTGCACTGCTGGGCACAGGTGGGGGCACTGCTGGGCACAGGTGGGTGCACTGCTGGGCACGGGTGGGTGGGCGGAGCTAGTGGGCGCACTGCTGGGCGGAACTTGCGGGTGTCACTGCTGGGCACCGATCATCAGGGCACTGATCATCAGTGCCCTGATGATCGGTGCCGATCCCCGCTCTGACAACTGCCGGTTCTCGGCAGTACTTTCCTCACGATCTGACAGCGTGAGGAAAGTGCAGCCGAGAACCGGCACTTGCATTTCCCTGTGATCAGCGTGTCATTGGACACCGCTGATCACGTGGTAAAAGGCCGGTATGATCGGCCTTTTACCGCATCTCGTGATCAGCTGTGTCCGTAGGACACAGCGATCACGGAGATCGCCGGGTGCGCGCCCCCTGGGGCGCGCAGGAGAGCGCGTTCTGGGGGGACGTCATATGACGTCCACCCAGAACTGGCCGGCCGCAGTGCAGCCGTCATTCGGCTATCTGCGGTCGGCAGGTAGTTAAAATGAAACTGAGTATAAAAAATATTATCAAATTAAAAATCCCAAAACCTACAGATTAAAATTTACCATTATGAATTATTACACCAATAAAATATTACTAATCTTAAAAATTTAAGTCAAATTCTACGTTCAACCCTTTTGGAATAAGTGTCTTCATTTCATAAATCCACCATGATTCCTGTTGGCTCAATAAGTTCACTATATCAGGCCCTCTCCTTTTGTTTATGGTATCTTTCTACCCCCCAGAACATTAACCCTACTGGGTTTCTGTTATGGACTTCCCTAAAATGTCTGGATAAATGGTGGTTTTTGTATCCACTCTGAATGTTATAAATATGTTCTTGTATTCTTTTAGCCAATTTTCATTTTGATCTTCCAATGTATTGCTTCCGACAAGGGCTTTGGATGCAATACACAATACCTTCTGTATTGCATGTGATCATATCCCTTATCTGATATTTCTTATTAATAGCAGTGGAAACAAAGTTTTTCCTTCTTTTTACCTATTGTTCTTCTACAACCCTGACAATTACCACATGCACAAAATCCCTTATGATTAATGATTGAGGATGCACCTAAATTTGGTGGATCTATTACACTTCTTACAATTTTGTCCCTAAGGCTAGGGCTCTCCTGTAAATGAATTGTGGTTTAATGGGGAGGATATGTCTCAATTCTTTGTCTGGACCAATGTTTCTGTATTACTTTTTCAACTTTATTACATTGTTTATTATAATCTTCTCCAACATTAGCCTTATTTTGAATCAGTTTCCTTCTGTCCACCCTGGATATTTGTTGGATCTGTTCTCAATCTTGTCCCGGTTGTAACCCTTATCTATAAATCTTTTTCTTATTCTTTTTGCCTACTCATAGTCTTCTATGTTTGTGCAATTTATCCTAATCCTCAGGAGTTGCACTCTCGGTATATTTCAAACCATGGACTGTGATGACAGCTCGATTTGGGATATACCCATTTCAGGCCATTGGTTTGAAGAATGTTTTAGTGGTAAGTGAATTCCCTTCTGATTTCAATTTCAGGATCCAAAAACGATAGTTTTGGATGGACTGACTTGCCATGTGAGTACTATATTCTTATCATTATGATCCAACTTCTTCATAAATCTTTCTAAACTTGTCATGTCTCTTTCCCATCTCATGAATAGATCATCAGTAAAAAAACAGTATATTTTTATCTCTTGTGGCTTATTTCTGAAAACCATGTCACTTTCCCACATATCCATGATTACATTTGCCACGCTAGGGGCAAAAGGAGCCCCCATGGCAATGCCATTTATCTGTTTGTAGTACTCTCCTCCATACCAAAAAAATTGTGATCCA